TTTTTTTTTTTTCGGACGGGCTTAAAATGACGGTGACTTAACTGAGTCGGCTAAATGAGCCTGGCTTCGATTTCACTCCAAGTGCAATTTGGGTTGGTTGTAAATGAAACATTATGGCCCAAAGTTTAGCATTTTGGGTTGCTGGATAGATGAACTTGTGGCCCAATGTCCAAAGTTCAAATAAACAACACAAATCAATCCTCTGTCAGTCGAGCCGAGTCGAACTTTAACTATGGATACTCGAATTCCACTCAACTTGGGTCTTTATTGAACCGTGTGAAGCTAATTAGATGAACTCGAGTTCATTTTATTTTATTAAATTAACGAGTCAAACTTGAACTTTAACAAGTCGAGACGAGATAATAGTGCAAGGAAAGAAGAAAAAAAAAAGTAAAGAAAACGATTGCCTAATATATAAATCTCCAAATTATTTATATACTTCAGATTCAAGAAGCATGTTTTTTATCATTTCATGTGTTAAAACACTGATATGCTCTACTGTCTGTGGCTCTGTGCTATTCCTAACTAGTAAAAAAAAGAAAAGTACTAACTATACAAAAGAAACAACAAAGAAGTTGGAAGAAATGAAAAGTGAAAAACACCCCATTCTTTTAACAAGTTTGCTGCAAAATTCTTGCAGCCTCAGCTCTCTGCTCATCACTCAATTCCTCCGGGAACTTGACCGAAAATACGATTATCAAGTCGCCTCTTGTCGTGGGCTCGTTGTGCTTCGGCATTCCTTTTCCCGATATTATCTTTTCGTAACCGGGACTTATGACATCATTCACCGTCACGCTGATCCTGTTTTGCTCGCCAAGCAACGGGACACTAAAAGTGCAGCCGGTAAGAGCCTCGACGAGTTGGATATCGAGTTTGAACTCCAAATTATCATCGTCCCGTTTCGAAAACAATGCGTGCCTTTTCTCGGCTATTGTGAATACCACGTCGGCAGGGTCCGACCCCGGCACTTCGTCCCCCTTTCCCTCGAACGTGATCCTCGTGCCCCGTCTCCAACCGGGCTTCACTTTTATCGTGAAAGTCTCGTCTTCTTGCACTACTTCCCTGTCGACAAATAGTCGAAAATCGGGGTGTGAAAAATGGGATAAATTTTTAGTCCAAAATGAAATATAGCCACATTGTTGATTTCAATGAAGTATAGCCATTTTGCTACGTGAAATGACAGAATTAATTTCACAGAAATATCCTTTCTACTAGAAACTCCCATATTCAATTTCAGAAAGTAAAGGTAATTGTGTCATTTCACAAGACAGAATCACTGTATTTCATAATTTCAGAAAAAAGTGGTTGTATTTCGGTGATGAGGCTATTTTTACCAATATTATTACGAATCTAAAACTTCGATAGATGTAGTGAATTTACACAAGTTTACCCGTTTTCCGTGATGGCGTCCCTCGTGATCTTGATTTTCTTGACGCAGCCGAAGCAGAGCTCCTCGAGGCTGCAGTCGAGCTGTTGCTCGTTCGCGGGCGGCTTCACGAGCCCGTGCGAGTTCGAGTAGAGTATCGGGCCCGTCCGGCTCGTGCTCCTCGAGAAAGTGCGGTTGAGACCTTCGTTGTTGCTCATGGTCCGTAGGAGGGAGGCCCGGCCCGGTCCGGCCCGCTTGCTCGCGCTCCTCGTCAGGGGCGAGAAGGAGCCGTGGCTCGTGGCCCGAGACAGTCGGGACGGGCCAGCGCCCGTCCGAACCGGCGTGCTCCACTGGGGCGACTCGGGTTCGATTAGCGGGTTTGGGTCGTCGTGTGCGCGTTTTTTGTCCTTGTCGAATTTTCTCTTCATGGATTTCTGGCTTTTGTATTTGGCGGCCTGCGGTGAAGGACAACGTTACTGTACCTTTGAGTCGCGTTCTTTTTTCGCGTATGCATGCGTGAAACGAACGTATATTAAAGAAAACGTGTCGATGATCGTGTGAGAATGTGGGAAAAATAAAAAGGACGAGATTTGTATTTAACGTATTTATTTTTTCGTAAAAATGCAGGTCGTTTACGCGAAAGTGGAACAAGAAATGTGATTCGGTTGGTTTGGATATGAGATCATCGTACCTTGTCGTCTTGGTCCATAGATTTGGGCTTCTTCATCATCATATTTCCCATTTTCTTGGAGGGCATTGAGCTTTTTTCAGGGTAGCATTTGGAGAGGAGAAATCTACATGCCTTGCAAATGCTTCCAAATCTTAAAATGTGGAACAAATCTTGAGAATTTGATCTTGAATTTTCTACCATGGTGGATTGCTGAGAGAGAGAGAGAGAGAGAGAGAGAGAGAGAGAGAGAGAGAGAGAGAGACCCGAATGTAATAATATTGGATGGTTATAGCATAACAACAACATATAGAGAGAGAGAGAGAGAGAGAGAGAGAGAGAGCAATGTAATAATATTGGATGGTTATAGCATAATACAGAGTTCCATATGAGGCCTTTCTATTTTGCAGCAGTTGAGGAGGTTGCAAAAGGCAGTTTATATATGTGTTTGTAACAATAATAATAGTAGGGAAATGCTACGGTCCCGTTACGAAATTATTTTGTTGGGTTTGTAACCGTTAAATCATCATTTAACAGTAAGAGATAATTGATCTAGCAGTTACAAACCCGACGGAATGATTCCGTAACGACACTGTAACATCTCGCATAATAATAACAATAATTAAAATAAAATAACAATAAATATTCACATAACTGGTTCATTAGACCGGACAAAGTGGATGTTAAAGAAGTTCTATCTCCATAACCGGTTCATTAGACCGGACAAAATAATAATAAATATTCACATAACCGGTTCTTCCAAATTCGCTTTTCTACTCAAGACGATGCGGTTCGGGCCCTGGTCGGTGGCCCTTGGGTTGTCTCTAAGCAGTACCAAAAGTTCTATCTCTATGTCCAGCCGTGGAGTGCGGAATTTGATGCCACGTGTAATCGGGTTAAATCTTTAGTGTCATGGGTCAGGCTCCCGGGGATGCCGGTTCATTTGTACCACAAAAAGGTATTCCGGATGAATGGTGATATCCTTGGCAGGGTGGTGAAGATTGACCACCAAACGACAGCCCAATCTCGCGGTGCAGGCTAGCTTTGTCCACGGCCGTCATATCACTGACAACATTGTTATTGCTCAGGAGCTTATCCACTCTTTGAGGCAGATGAAAGGGAAGCGGGGCTACATGGTTATTAAGGTGGATCTTGAGAAAGCCTATGACTATCTTCGATGGGATTTCATTCGTGACACATTGGAGTGCGTGGGGTTTCCGAGGGTGTTTGTGAATGCTATTATGTCTTGTGTCACATCAGCTACGATGCAGCTGCACTGGAATGGGGGCATTAGTGAAGAGTTCACGCCGTCTCGAGGGGTACGCCAAGGCGACCCTATATCTCCTTATTTGTTTGTCTTGTGTATAGAATGGCCCATATGATTGATGGCTCGGTAGCCCAAGGGGGATGGCATCCGCTCTCGGTAGGCCGCGGCCGGGTTGATGTTCCGTACCTTATGTTTGCGGATGATCTACTTTTATTCATTGAGGCGACTAATGCCCAGGGCGAGGTCTTGAAGGATGTTCTTCATTCTTTTTGTGCGGCTTCCGGGCTTAAGGTTAGTGCGGCCAAGACCGAATTGTTTTTCTCGCCCAACACAGCTGAGGCGGATCGGGCATCGATAGGG